GACAAGGAGAACAATTGCTGTATTTCCTTTGTACTTCATACAAGTGTTATGGTTTCATGTATTGCATAGTAGTTGTCTGGTGTTATGTATAGTGTTGGCTGTGTAACAAATGACCAGTAATTTAAAATGAATTAATTTTGGGAGACCAACATATCATTCTTGGGTTAATTCTTTCTGACTGGTCTTCCAGTTAATTTTGTTCCCTTCTGCCAGATTAATTTATTCTGTCAACAGGTATTTATTTAGTTCCTATTATGTGCCAGACACTCCTCTAAGTTCTGGGGATATAGTAGGGAGCAAAACAGATAAAATTCCTTGCCTTCATAGAGTGGAAGACAGACAATAAACAAATAAATTTATGATATGATTCCAGGTATTGATAAATGCTATAAAAAAAATAAAAGCAGAGTCCTGCAATAGAATGATTGAGCATGTCCTTGTGCATGCACATGGGAGTGTGTGTGTGTGTGTGGATGTGAACAGAGCGGCACAAAAGAAGAGACTGATTCTTTCCTCTTTAGTGCAGACCTTGGATAGGTTGAGTGCATTTGGTAGTGCCAGGCACCCCAGAGTAGCTGTGGCCCACTGAGTAGGCATGGCACCCTGTGCCAGAGGCTTTGAGAGTAATCCCCTCTGCAATAGAAGGGCTTTGTGGTGCCAAAGCAGCCATGTGGTGACAAGCACAGAGGGCAGAAAAGACGATATCCTTAAGCCATAGATTACTTGACAATTCTACCTACTTCTTTGAAGATGTTGAACCGATGAAAAGGTATTAATTATAACTAAAAGTCGTATGTGAGAGTACTTTGTAAGCCTCTGAAACACTTAACAGAAGAGATCATTATCAGCCAAACTGGAGGTGGAATGTCCACAATGGAGTGTAACAAATGTGTTGCATACATGGGTTAGAAAACACTTGTAATAAGAAAGATGAAAAAGCACGCTTTGTTTATTCCACTGTTCAGCTTCTCTTTAAATTCATTCCACATAGACAAACTGCTTTAAGCATGACACCAAATTTTACTTAGTTTTCTTAACTCTTAGGAGCATCTCTAAAATTAAAAAAGAATATCAATATTAAATGTAGGACCAAGGATTTTAAGATGTTTCAATCATGCAATACATTGCTTCTGGGGTAGGTTTGCAGTACTATTCCAGTCCTAGAGAATAGTTAATGCCTTGAACTATTCCTATCACCACAGGTTGCCAGGCCACCAAGTAACAAAGCCACTCCAAAATTTGTCCGTACAAACAATGTGTGTGCTCCCAGCTAAATCTCTGTTAAGGAGGTTGTTTTATGTACAACCAAGTAGCAGAAATATTCATAAATATCATTTGCAAATGTAATAAGCAATGTATGTGTAGTTCCTTTCTTGTTAATTCCATGTGCTCAAAATCCTTTACATGATTTTTATAGCATTATGGTTATCATTGTTATTTACAGAACATCCAATTTCTGAAAATAAATTGAGACTGTTTACAATAAAATCCAAAACTATAAAACAAGAATAAAGTCAAGGGTACATGCTAAAAGAAAGAGGAAGAAGGAAATGACTATATTGGAAAACCAAGGATAGTGGGAGCTGCTATAAATGAGCAAAAACTTAGCTCCAGGCTTTCCTGTAGCCGGCACCTCACAGGGAACTCATCGTATACCAGCACGAGTTCATCAGATAAGACATACCTTTTTCTGGGCCGGCCCGGTGGCGCACTGCTGCAGTGCACCGCTTGGGAGCACGGCGGCGCTCCTGCCGAGGGTTCGGATCCCACATACAGACCGGTTCCCGCTCACTGGCTGAGAGAGGTGCGGGCGCAGCACCGAGGGTTGCGATCCCGTTGCCGGTCCTGGTCCGGTATGGGCGCGACACTGAGGGTTGCAATCCGTTGCTGGACACGAAAAAAGACAAAAAGAAAAAAAAAAAAAAAGAGTACATGTGATATTCAACAGTTTATTCTGTCGAGACTATATGAAGACACAAATTGCCCTTCGTTATTTAAACTGTCACTTAAGGTGACATTTATGATCATATTATCAGCAATTTTATAATAAAGATTTACATACTGCAATTTTATAAGTTACTAACCAAAAGCTGCCCTGAACTCGGTCTCCTCGTGTTAGAAAGGGAAGTTGGGGACAGTGGATGAAAAGTAGGGAGAAAGGAGCATCACATACCTTCAGCCTTGGGCTGTGCTTGAGTGGTACTGAGAAAGGCCAGGCCTGTGGATGGAGCGGGCGGCTGTGGACGGTGGGCTATTGCCATGTCACGGCCCTGAGACACAAAGACCCTCCAATGCCGCCTCTTCTGATGTCCTACTTGAAGACCTCTCCCTGATTGGCAGTGCTTGGGGATGGGGGCGACGCTGCCGGTAGCCACTGCTGAACTGCTCATTTAGAGTTGCTGAGTAGGGGAGCTGGGAGCAAGGAAGGCGTCTCCTTCAGCACTGTAAAATTCAGGGGACTGTTACTCAGAAAGTGCAGAGAGGCTGTCTCTTATGAGAAGACAGAGTACTTGGCCAGTTGATGATGTTAACCTCTCAGTGCTCTTCTGCTTAAGGGGAGATATGTTTTAATCCCGTTTACCCCCCAGAAGAGATATACTAGGGTGTTGGGACAGTGAGGTTGAGGACTAAGTCTTTCTAATCAGCTCTGGATGGGGGCCATTACCTCCCTTTGACCTTAATGGGACTTAGGTTTAATCAGTTGGGCATCCCTCCTGGTGTCTGTAAATATCCTAGTTGCTGCCATAAGCTGACCCAATCAGTAGATCTTTGTTTCCTTTCAATATCATTATCACTAGGGTTTAGCCTAAGAGACGAGGCATGACAAGGAATTTAAAAAGCCAAACTTCAGAGAGGAAAACAACCGCTACTCATTTCTAGGAATAATAAAATTTGGTACTCTCTAAAATATTCTCCTATAATCTAGTTCACATTTGGGGCTTTTAAAATTTTAATTCCAATTCATCTATTTATCCACCCACCCATCTATCCATCTTTCTATCTTGATTACTCTTCCACATATTTTACCTATCTTTGCAATGTACCATCACATCTCCACTAAAGCCTTTAACATGGAAAATATGAACAATAAAGAGTGGAATGTTTTTTTGGCATTTAATTTCCTAACCTTCTTAGCAATATAGGCACAGGGGAAAAAAAGAGACCTAAGGTTGTTTTGAAATGGTTGGGGAAAACAAAATGTTTTCTACGAAAACTATTCAAAGATAATGAAAGTTTAGATTGAAGTATGCTTCTCTAGAAACTTTTAAGATAATATTTTGTAATTTTTTAAAAAGGATATGGATTACTGATCATCCTCTTCAAATCTACCTTCTCTTTGCAGTAAGGGAAAGTCTGCTTTTTACCGATGATACACCAACCTCGGACGCAGAATTCATGAAAGCTGAAACATCTTTTTGGGGAAGTTTCTAGATATTAAAGGGCAATGTCTGGTTCGTGATGACATGGAAATGATTGTGCATGTCAAAAAAGGTCTCTTTTTTAGGGACATTCTGTAGGACAATAGAGCCTCAAGGACAGCGAGCTTGGAGTTGGGGGTGCATTAGTTTTATGACTCTGGGAAATTTGCTTTTCTTCTTGGCCTTACTTATTCTTGCCCCACTTGATTCTGGTAAGAATTAAATGAGAAAAAGAGTGTGATTTTTTACAGTAATGTCTTATGCAAACATATCACTATAGTTCCCTATATTTCCTACCTCATTTACTGTGCGTTTATCACAGCATTTCCCATTCTACTTTTTGTGCATATTCATTACCTTCTATGTAATCAGACTTGTCTAAGGCAGTTAGACAAGTTTAAATTAGTTGTGGTCATAAACTTACAAATATTTCTATTAACTTTGTAAGTTTTTACCTCAACTTTTTACTACTGATAAGGAACCAATTATTTTTAATAGAATATAAACCTAATAAACTTAACTTCTCAAACTCTAGGCATTTACAGATTCATTTGTATACATCACCTTGTCCAGACAGTCTGACCCTTTGCCCCAAAGCTGAGAGTGAATGCTGTGTTTTCTCACAGCACCGAGGACTTACTCTAATGTATCATAACTTTCTGTGTACTTTGTGTCTCTCCTAGAGGATATGGTACCTGTGGCACTATGTTTCACTCATCTCTGACTCCTCAGAACCTTAAGCAATGCCTAAGAAATATTTTTTGAATGAATATTTGAATAAATCACTCAAAACCAAGTGTTTTTGGAAATGTATATATTTTCAACCTCCCCAATATTGCAAGTTTGGGTAAAATGATTAACTATAATGAGATCCATCCTATTGACTTATTTATTTCTATGATTGCTGCTCCCAATGTGGCTTTTTTGGCCAAGATCGCATGATCTTCTCACTGGCTTATTACATGCCCATGTGACCTGCAAGGATGCAGAAGTTCCCTTGCAAACAAGCAGTGGACCATGGAGAAGTAGCCGAGGAAAGGCCATGTGTGTAATCCCTCAATATTAGATCTCTGCAACTAAGAGTTTCCACTATTTTATGTTCTTGGAATTGGGTCATTTTTGTGATATTCTTGGATTAACATAAAGTAGTGTATTAAAGATTTTGAACCAAAATCTATACAGCCCTGTATTCAAAAAGGCTGGAGTACAGGCCCGACTTCCACGTAGGTATAGAATTCAGGGGTCATTAAACCAGCACTGAAATGTCCACGTTCTCTTTAATATTCTCTTTCATCTTCAAAATCTCAGTGCTGAAAAACTTCCACACTGGTAGAACTGCTGTAGAGCAATACTCAGATAACCTCCCCTCATTAATATGATTCACGTTTGCCCACTCCTCGCTAATACGACTCATGCTAAAATGGGCCATTAATAATACTTCCTGCAAAGCAAATTTAAAGGTGACTACACAGAACAATACTCAGATAACCTCCCCTCATTAATATGATTCACGTTTGCCCACTCCTCGCTAATATGACTCATGCTAAAATGGGCCATTAATAATACTTCCTGCAAAGCAAATTTAAAGGTGACTACATTTTACATTACATATGCACACATGTACAACAGTCCCTAAGGGCTTTTAATGGTGGAGTGAGAAAATATTTCCACTTGCAAATGGCAGAAGGGGCTCTGTTCCAACATTTGAAAAGTAAATCATATTTAAAACTATGGCCAGACTTGGAAAATTTCTACAAAGAATGATAGTTTTGGGGGAAGGTCACCACACTGAAAAACCACTATAGAACTCCATATGGGATATTTGTGTTTCCTTCCTTAAAAGTTTAAGACTTAAATGTTGGTGTAAAAGCTCTTATTACTTTTGAGATGCATTTGGTCCAGTTTTTTATTCTCAGGATTGAATGCATGGAAACTGTTCAGATTAAAAAGAACTGAGTCATAGACACTGCACATCGAGGTATGACTGACTGAATTAGGTGGGCTTCAGAGGCAAAACACAAATGGTTTAACCATCTCATAATGCCAGATCTTTGAACTGACAGGGTATATAGTGATAACATTATTAAGTTGATACTGTACTATAAAATAAAGATAAATGGTGCCCTTACTTTGTATTAGGGAAGAATTAAAATACAGATTGTCCAATCCAAACACAACTTTGGTACCCACGGTTACATGCTCAGGCAGCACAGGCTGCTTTGTGCAGGGGTCTTGATGCCAGCATTTTTCTGCACGTTGAGGCCCTCAATCTCACTGGAGTTCCCAGAGCATGCTGGCTTCCATGCCCAGGCTTGTCTGAGTACAACCTGAAGATCCTTCAGCCAATAGAGAGCTATTTGGGATGAAACCCAAAGGCAGAGGAGCCAAATGGTCCAAGAACTAGATGCTTAAGTTTTGGTGCCTCCTTTTGTAATCTAAGGTGTCGCACTGCCTGTGGCATTATCCTCTTTTCAAGACCAAGGCTTATAGGGAGGCTTGGTTTTCTCCATTGGCTGCCCCCATGACCACTGTTGCTATAGGTAGGTTTCTAGGATTATTTCTAGGCCAAACACACTTTGTATTTCTTGGTCCCCTGAGATTCAGACATGGCTGCACCTGGACAGCCTTGAGTTCCTCCTACACCTGACATTTCACTCTTTGTCTCACCTCAAACCCCTTCTCTCCCTGGTCCTTCTTGGCTATCAGCTCACTTATGGCTTTGACCAACTTCCCCTGCGAGCACCGTGCTCAGATGCTGCTGCCTTCCTCTTTATGTGGCATTAATATCCCTCTTGAAAAAGGAAATTACTGGAGGAGGAGGTTCACCTTCATCAGCAGTTCATTATTTAGCAGGGATTATCAGAAAGTCTCAAAAAGAAAGACTGGGCTTGAAGGATAAAGTTCTGAAGTTTGGGGATGGGGCTAAGCCAAGCAGAGGGGATGGGGACAGGAGGAGGAGAGGAAGGGATGAAGAAGTCTTGACGGAGGACAAATGGTTTCCCATGGAAACGATACACATGACTACATGAAAGCTGGCAGGTGTTTTCAATGAGCCCTTCCTCATTGAGCTCCACAATGATCTTCTGCCCACAGATGGCACAAATATTGTCTGACAGGCTCCTTGTGGGCATCCCAGTGACACTGTAGAACTGTCGTGGAAACGAACAGAGCACTGTTGGAAAGGACAGCACATGCCATTCTCTGAATGCAGGGAAGCCACTGCTGGGCACTAGTACAGGCAGACCTTAGCAGAGAGTCTCCACTGCTTCTAAGATGGTTTAGAACTTGAGACACCTTTTCCTATGGGAACAAGGCAACAGAGGGGTTAAGGTTTCCAGGCAAAAACCCAATGAATCCCAAATGGATCCAAAGCACATTGCTAATGATAACCTCCTATTTAACCTCCGCATTTAGGAATCTTTTGAGAGGAATAGTTTTTATCCAGGACTGTAGTTCAGAATCACACAGGAGGTTTTTGATCTTATCCATAGAGTAGCCCTTCCCTTTATTTTCCTGGGGGTTCTGACTTAGAAATCTGGAGTTAACCCAGGCATCTATCTATTTTTTTTTTAATTCCCAAGTTATCATTGGGAGCAAACAGACTAATAGCCATCGAAGGCAATGCATTTGGAATTCTACCTTGGGATACCTGCATCTTCCAGTGCTTGGATGAGGACTGGTTCTCAACACTGCAGCACCTTAGAATCCCTTAGGAAGCTTTTTTTAAAAAATAAAATACTTATTTTACAATAGTTTTAGATTTAAATAAAACATATGAAGATAGTACAGAGAGTTCACATACACCACATACCCTGTATCGCCTATTATTATTAGATTTATTTAAAGAAATTGGCCTACACCGTTGTGGGAGCTGGCAAGTCAGAAACCTTATGGGCAGGTTAGCAGGCTGGAAATTCTGGCAAGAGTTGATGCTTCAGTTGACGCAGAATTTTTTCTTCTCTAGGAAGCATCAGTTTTTGCCTTTAAGGCCTTTGACTGATTGGATTAGGCCTACCCACATTATGCAGGATAATCTCCTTCACTTAACATCAGTTGGTTATAGATGTTAATCATATCTACAAAATACCTTCATAGCAACACCTAGACTAGTGTTTTACCACACAGCTGGGCACCACAGTCTAGACAAACTGACACATAAACTTTGCCATCACAACCTCCGTAAGGGTTGAGTATCTACATAAGATATGTAGACTTCTGGACACATTTGTCTATTCTCCACCATTTATGAACTTATCCAATCACTTATTTATATCAATGTGGACTCAGATATTTATTTTGTACTTTGTGTTATAACTCAATACTACTATCACTATCTTGTTGCTCAAATTTCAGCTTTGGCCAATAGGACCTCTTTCAGTTGTCCCGTGTGTCTCTTTAACATGCCACCATCATTGTGGGTTCTTTTTGTTTTATTTTTAGTGCTTCCTTATTTTCTGGCACTACAAGGTGCTCTGGGCTCATATTGTAAATTCCTTGCCCAGACCTGTAATTAGCCATTTCCCCAAGGATCCCTGGTTCCTTTTATTGTAGGATGGTATTAGAAACCAAGATCTGGGCACTAGGTGTGCTCATTGCTACTGGGCTGTCATTGCTTCCAGGGCTTCTTAGCTGACAGAGCAAGTAATATATCTGTATATACCAATCTATGCACATATACACACATATATAAATATTTCTATATGTAGCCATCTATATATTAAGCTAAACATGAGTTCATACTGTCTCCAATTCTAGTCCATTAACATGTAGATCATTCTAGACTTCTTGCTTGTCTGTAACCTGCCACTCTGACAGTGAGAAACCTAGCTTCCACTATCAGCCGTCCATTCACCTAGTTGTTCAGTTCCAAAATACATGTGTAGTGGTATCAGAATTGCTAACCCACAGGCCTGAGGGCAGCAACTATGTCAGTTAGAGCTATGTACATTCCTTCTGCTTTTAGTCTTACTATCTTGTGTTATAACTCATTTCAGAGTTACCCGGGAGAGCACCTGTTTCCCCCACCCCTTTCCATGAGTTATTTCATACATTTGTAATATGGTTAGATTCTTTTGTCACAGTCTGCTTTCCATCCTAGGATTCTCTGGCTTCCTAAATGGTTTTTAAAATTTGTATATATTAAGGTTCACATTTGTGCTTCAAAGTTCTGTGGATTTTGGCAAATGAACAAGGTCGTGTATCCACCATTACAATATTCTACAGAACAGTTTCCCCACTCTAAAACACTTCCTGGGCTTCACCTGTTCAACCCCATTCCTTCCCTGAAACTCTGGAAACCACTGATTTGTTTAGCATCTCTGTAGTTGTGCCTTTTCCAAAATGTAATATAAATGGAATCATACAGTATGTAGCCTTTTCAGACTGGCTCCTGTCACTTAGCAATACTCATCTGAGATGCATTCACGTTTTGGGATGGCTCAATAGCTCATTCCTTTTCCTAAGGAGCTTTCTAAAACAGAACACATACATACATTGGCTCTCCTCCAAGAGATTCAGGCTTAGCCTGGTGTGGGGTCTAGACACTGGCATGGGAATAGATATTGCTCCTCCTTCGCTTCCTCCTTACCTCAGTCACAAGCACACACATCCCCCCGCCCCCACACACACTCTCACACCCCACTAGTCCAAGTCACTGGTGACTGTGCCAAAGGCTTGAGGCAGTGGTTTTTATAGATTTGGTAGCTAGAATGAAGATGACAGAGGATGACAAGATGTTGAGGGTTGGTGTGGGGGATCAGGTGAAAAGTCTCCAGGAAGTTGGTGCTTAAAGCCCTGGTTGTCTTGCCAGGTGAAATCTCTTCTTTCTGTTTCACTGGAGAACAGAACATACAACGCTTCTCCTCCTCTCCTGTCCATAAACAAGCACAAGAGGCTTTGGGAAATTTCTAATTTTTGACTTCTAGTTTTTGTTGGAGGAACTGGGAGTGAAAATGCTCCTTCCTGTGCTCACCTTAAACTTTGTAAGAAAGATAGTTGTCGCATTGGTGATGCATGGCACAGGAATTCCAAAAGGTATGTTGTTGCAGCATTTCATCTGAGAAGTTGGGTTGTAGTCTCTAGGAAAAGAGTAATATAGAGCCTAGAGTGTGGGGGAGAAGGACCAAGGGCGTGGGGATGAAGTCAAGGTCATGTCCACTTAGTCCTGCCCCATAAATGGAAAGAGAGAACAGTCCAGAAGCTCACTCTTGTCTTGCTACTTACACTGGTTTTTCTACTTCTATTTGGCTGTGCATCAAAAGACAGGTAGAGGACAGAGAGGCAGAACTCTTGAAACCACTGGGTCATTCCTGGAGCCCTTGGTTTGTAAGTTTTTAAGAGATGTGCACATGTCAGACACAGATGAATGCTCTTTATATCTGAATCTGGAATCCATCTAACTGGAATGTATGTCCATTCTGAATTTTAATTTTAAGAGAGTTCAAAAAATAAAAGCAACTATTAGGGATGTTTTTAAAAATTCCAGGCAACAATATATGGTCAGAATACATTTAGCACACTTTTTATATCTCCTTTTGGGTGCTATAAAATGATAACTGATCTCTATGATAAGTATTACCCTGAAGCATTGGTTGATTCTGAAGTGTTTTATATAGCATCAAATATGATTTTTATTTGCATTAGGCAGAGTTGCAATCAGAGAGAAAAGGTTTTTGTTATTGTTGATCTTTTACTAATCCTTTAAATGTTGGCAGTTGGAATATGCTAGATATGATAACCTAAATAATTAACATATTTTATTTTTAAAAATGCCATATTCCCCAGTCACTCTGTATGAGAAAGAAATGTATTTTCTAATTAATTAACAAAAATTTTTAATGCAAGGAGACTTCAGGGAGCCACTGGGTTGGGAGAACCAAAATAGTACCAAAGGACATGATAATAAGTATATGGGGAAATAATGCCCTGTTTTTGAAAATGGATGCGGATACATAAGATGAGATCATCTCTCCATGTGGTATAAGTGGTTTCAAAGAATGAAAGCAGCACTTACCCCTATAGTAGGAGCCATGTAATCTGAGCAAGTCTCAGTGAAGTCTCTCCCCTTTGCTCCATAGTAGAGACTTCCCAAGCGGCGCACTACCCAGTGCGCCACCGGGCCGGCCCTAATGCCCTGTTTTTGAAAATGGATGCGGATACATAAGATGAGATCATCTCTCCATGTGGTATAAGTGGTTTCAAAGAATGAAAGCAGCACTTACCCCTATAGTAGGAGCCATGTAATCTGAGCAAGTCTCAGTGAAGTCTCTCCCCTTTGCTCCATAGTAGAGGCCATAGGACAAAGACACAATGCCAAAATCCATGCAATCGCTAGCTTTGATTCTATTGAAAATAACAGTATAAGGAAATAAGAATGTGGCTTTTAGAGGGCAGAGGGCAGCTGGAGCTTAAAAAATATTTCCTGCCATAGTATCTAACAGAGCCTTAGGGATTTTTTTTTTTCATTTATCTGTTTAGTTTTCTTTTTGAAAATGAAAGAACTTTAAATTCTTTAAATTTTCCTCAAATTGTGCCTCCCTCAAATGGACAAAGGAATTCCTGAGATAGTCTTCACACACTTCCTAGGACTGCAGTGCTTAGATAAGCCAACTCTAACCACTGGTTTCAAGCTTGGCTGTACAGAGAGACCTGGGCAGCTTGTGAAAACCTCCATCTTCACGCCACACCCCAGGCCAATGACATCAGAATCTCTGGGGATAGGGCCTGTGAAGAAATGTTTTTGAAGCTCCCCAGGCCCCGAGTGGTTCAAATGGGCAGCTAATGTTAACAACCACTAGCATCTCACAAGGGATTAATATTCAGAATATACAAACAGCTCAAACCACTTTACAGCAAAAAATCCAAATATTCCAATTAAAAAATGGGCAAAGGAGTTAAATAGACATTTCTCAAAGGAAGACATACAAATGGCCATCAGGTATATGAAAAAATGCTCACCATCACCAGTCATTAGGGAAATGCAAACCAAAATCACTTTGAGATGGCACCTCACCCCAGTCAGACTGGCTATTATATAAAAGAGAGAATAACAAATGCTGGCAAGGATGTGGAGAAGAGGGAACACTTCTACGCTGTTGGTGGGACTATAAATTAGCACCGCCATTATGGAGAACAGTATGGAGGTTCCTTAAACAATTATAGATAGAACTACCATATGATCCAACAATTCTACTACTGGGGATATATTCAGAGGATTGGAAATCATCAGTTCAAAGGGACACCTGCACTCCCATGTTTATTGCAGCTCTATTTACAATAGCTAGGTGATGGAACCAACCTCAATGTCCATTGATGGATGACTAGATAAGGAAAATGTGGTATATATACACAATGGAATACTACTAAGCCACAAAAAAGAATGAAATTTTGCCATTTGCAGCAACAGGGATGAGCCTGGAGAAAATTATCCTAAGTGAAACAACCCAGGCATAGAAAGAGAAATACCACATGTTCTCACTTATAACTGGGAGCTGAATCCATAAATAAACAAATGAACAATAAAGAGAGACAGAGAGAAAAAAAAGACACAACCATCCCAGTAATATGTTGAACTTTTAGAAAGAGAGAAAAGAACCGTGTTTACTAGAGGTGGAAATGGGGAGGGGAGTGGGAGAAGGAAGGGGGCTAATGAGGAATTGGTCAACTGACACAAAGAATGACTGATATTGTAATGATGAATAAGCTAACTATCCTGATCTAACCATCACTCATTGTACACAATTATTGAAAATCAATGTTGTACCCCACATGTACATATAATAAATTATCTTAAAAAAAAAGAACCACGAGCGTGATGGTTCTTAGCCCTAAACATAGATTAGAATCACCTGGGGATTTACAGATGCATGGGCCCATTCCCAAGGACTCTAGTGTAATTGGTTTGGGGTGGGGTCTGGACAGAAGTATTTTTTAAGAGGATGTCAGGTGATTCTACAATACAGCAAGGATTGAGAATCTCTGCCTTAAAGCTCAGACTTTATAGAATGATTCCAAATACTTTATCTTTTCTAATCAATGTTTGACATAGATATTATTAGCCCACTTGCATGTAAAACATGGAGACTTAGAAAAATTATTTGTTTAACATGACAATTGGTATATAACAAAGCTATAAATCAAGCTCAAATTGTGAGGCCATTTGCTGCTATGCCATAATTGCCATGTGTTAATTGAAAAAAATTTTTTGCAAATCTATATTTCAAATATACTAGAATTCTCTGTGATAATCCCCTTTTCATTCTTAAGGGAAAGATCTCTTTAAAAAGTGAACAATTTGCCCCAAATTTAATTTATGAATATTAATTATTGCACATTTGGTTTGCTCTATTTGTAAAACAATCTCAAATACCAACAGTGGACCTGAACGGGTCTGACTGATTCAGGGAAGGAAGTGAAATGTAGAGAAGAGTTGGGTGGTCTGCTTCTGGAACTTTCTTCTATTTGTTTCTGTGCCTTGACAATTTGAAGAGAAAATGGTAGAGGCAGAGAGCTTTGTAGATTTAGAGGATACAGATTTTTTGGTGATATAAATTGGGAATTCCAATGTACGTGGAATTCTTTCAGGATTCGCCTGGGTGTATTTGAGAATTAGGGCAGTGGGGAAAATGAAGCTTATCCTTCCTCCATGTCCAGGACAGTCTGTATTTATAATCTTATTGTTAAAAAGTATAGCAACAAAATTGTGGCTCCATAGAAAAGAACCTTAATACAATGAACAGTGAAAAAGTAGTTCCTTCCCAATCTAGGGATTAAATTCTTGATACTCCTCCTTGAAGGAGAATTCATGGATAAGGATCTTAAAATCTTATGAGGTAATAGTCTTGGGATAGCTATGGTTTCATAAAAATCCTTACAAATATTTTTACATTCACTAAAATAAAGCTATATAGACACTCTGCTCAAAAAAGACATTATCAGTGTATTTCTATGTCTTAACCTAGCAAAAATAGATCCATGCAATTACTTTCTATCCCATTCCTCCTAGAAAATATTAGAAAATAGTAGGAGTTACCTCTCTGAAATATTTACTTTCAGAGAAAGTTTCATGAAATGCTTTATAAAATAAGATTGCTATGCTGTACTAGGAACAGCCCTTTCCCCAGGGCTGATTCTCCATTCAATTGCCTTCCTTCTTTTATGACCTCTGCTTTTCAATTTCTGTATGGTTCCAGAGATTGAGGGTAACTTCATGTGAGGAACATTCTGAAGAATTTTTATTTGAGCTGCTTTCCATAGCTGGATAGTTGGATAGCGTAGTTCTAGAGGTTTTAAGAAAAAAGATGTACAGAAGGAGATCTGAATTCTTCAGCATTTTGTGGAAAGGAAATCTGAAGTTCGGTAAGAATTACTCTACCACAATTGTAGATCCACTTTCAATGGTGATCTCTTAAATTTGCAAATCAAGTATAGATTCTCTTTAAAGCTTCTAATTAAAAAAAAATTATTTTGTAGGGCTCTCCTTTCTTCTAGTGGTTTCCCCCAATGACAAGACTATGTGTAGACATCTACTATAAAAAATATGCACACGGAAAATTACAGAGCTAAATGCTTCCAAATTGAGAGAACATGATGAGGTGAATGTTCGAGCAAGTGCTTAGCTATATGTATTAATGTCTTAACTGGAGATACTTACTTGGAAAATAAATTGAATCCACACATTGTAAACATGATAGCCAAATAACCCACAACACCAAAAGCATAGCTGAGCTTGTAGATTAGAAGAAACCATTTGTAGACCAATCTGTGTTATGAAAAATGGGGAGAAACACAGGACATGATATAAAGTATTTTGTCTTTTTCAAACATTGTTATAAGTTGGTTTTTTGTTACTAAAATTCTATTTGTTAAATAACATACAAAATATATATTAGTTGAACTCAAGAATAGTCTAAAGTTTTAATATAATAGCAACAAGCAATATATAAATAGTACTATTTTGCTCATGTGTTTCTATGTATATGCATGTGTAAATTCATTTTAATTTACCTATATCCCTCACATAAAAATAGACTTGGGGAATGGTTACTCTCCCTGCCTTCTCCCTTCCCTCCTTCTTATTTGGCCCTAGGGTTGGTTTAGAGTAGTTGTGGTAGGAGCGTCTTGGAGGCAAGCAAAAGTTGGGAGAAGTCAGGAGGGGGGACCTGGTCCCCCGTGGTTCCTCTTCCCCACTGCTGTGCCACCCTCTGCCCAGCTCCAGTGCAGACATCATCAGCAGAGGGCCCAGTCCTCTTCCCATCTCCCCTCGGGCCCCGGGATGAAATCACAAGACAGCGGCAGCCTTGTTTTCTTCTGTTAAGTGGATGGCTCCTTTGTGCATCCCAGCGCCCATCGTGACCACTGCTGAGGCCTTTCCCTTTTCCCACCGGGTCTAAGTGGAGAAGAGGATGAGGACAGAGGGCGAGAGTGGGATGCTCTAGAAGGAGCCCTTTATCCCGCGTGTCTCCTTCACTGGCAGTAAAAAAGCCCTTAGAAAAGCGACACGATGGGCTGCGCGGCTGCTTTGTGCCTGGAGGCTGCGGGAAGAGGCTGGGCGCCCAGCTCTGCTCCTGGAGGGCCACAGCAGAAGGGCGGTGCCAGGTGGAACAAGAGGCGGTGGAAGGAGAAGCTTTTCCTTGGTGCTCAAAGAGAATAAAGGGGTGGCCAGAATGTTGCTCACAAGGGTGTACCACGGCAGGAGGCTATTGGTCCCTCGGCCCTTTCCCTGCACCTCCCTTTTCCTGCCATCCACCCCAAACTGCTTTCGGAGTCTCCCTCCAGAGATGCTGCCCCACTCTCTCACCTCCTTCCCCTTAGCTCTGTCCCCAGCTCTCTCACCTTCCCCACTTGTCCCACTGGGGCCCCTGCACCACATGCTTAAGTTCCCTGGTATTACTCATGTAAGGTTTCAGCACCATTTTAAAAGGTGCCCTATTTCATTGTGTTCCAGTTAGAAGGGACCTTCTGAAATATTATGGTTTAAATGGGGGTTGTGGGCTAGCCTGGGAAATGAGTGTCATTTACATCACTGTTACGGTCGAATGCTTTCTGAACTTCAGGCAACTGACACACCAGGGCCATCTGTGCCGGTGCCTCCTCCACACAGGAGTGATCCTGGCCTGTGGAGGGGCAGGCCGTGGTGAGGTGTGCAGAGTCAGAAGCTTGCAAAGGCTGCACAACTGGGTTTAAATTGCCGTGAGTCTGCTGTGAGTCTCTAAAGGGGGGCAGAAAGAGTTTTGGGGGTCTTTCTGCCACAGTGACTCTTCTTTAGATTTGCCAGCGCTGAGAGTTTGGATCATTGCTCAGTGCAGTTGCCAGAAGTTTATGTTGCTAAAAGGGGTGAGGATGGGGAAACAGGCAAGCTCCAAGACGGTCCTTTCCTACCCAGTCCCCCAACACCAGCCAGCACCAGAATGTGTGTTCCTTGAACTCCACACGTTCTTGGCATACCCTCTCCCTGCCTTGAGGAACCTCTCTCAAAGCTGTGCCAGTATTAGAGATGTTCCAGGACCAAAATCTTTTCAAACTCTGTGAAAAGTGGTTTGTTAATTTAATAAGCCACAGCATGCCGTTGGGAGCAGGGGCTTTGCAATTGACTAGTCTTTGGTTTGATTCTGGGCTCCTCCACTTACCGCCTGTAGGACCTTGGACAACTTATAGTTCGTGGCATTTCTTCCTACGATCGCCTCATGTATAAAGCGAGGATGATAACACTAGCTCCTAAAGTGGTTCTGAAGAGTATGTGAGATGATGTATTAACGTTTAAAAGACATGGCACATCAAATGCTCAATATGCCATATTATTGTTAAAGATGTGTTAGATTTTCCAAACCTCAACACCCTCTCTGCATCTTCCTGCTTATTGGGGGTACAAGTTTCCAGGAGCAGCAGAGTCTGCTACTCAGACTTACACTGTAAGGCAGATAAGCCAGGTAAGTTGTGTTCCTGCTTCATAGCAGGCTCCAAAAGGAAAGCTTAGCCTTGGGTTGGAATTGGTATGGTCAAGCCCAGCTCTTTGTGCTACTGTGTGGCCTATTTTTGAGCCTCATTGAGGCTCATTTGAACTTCCTTGCTTGGCAGACAACCCAGCTGTAGCACAAAGGAAACTCACTTCCCCTTCTCTGGTACTCTGTCCCATGGGGAGGGCTTGGTGTGCTCTTGGGGAGGAACAGCAGGTTTTAAACTGTGTTGGTGCTGGAGACCACTCCCCTTGGGTTTGCCTTCTGCGCCCATGCTGATATGCTTCACCCAGCCTTCCTAGCTTGTCACGAAATCCTTCTCTTTCAAATGGAAGATAGCTAAGATGACTCACCTATAATACAATGATTAAGCAAAGATCCATAGAAATCCTAGGGCCTACTCTCCCTCATAAACAGGAGCTTCTTTATCCTGACTGCTGTTCTAGACGAGGCCCTAATTAGCCTCTCCCACTGTGGTCTCCTCAAATGGCAGCTGGGTTTGCTTTAGAATGTCAGTGGAGCCTTTTGGGTCTCAGACCGTGCTCCAGGGCTTGGAGCTGTGCTGGCAGTCAGAGGCTGAAGTGGACGTGCTGCGGGCGTGAGAGGCGGAGGGCACGGCACCTTCGCCATCTGACATAAATGAGCCATGAAGGGTAATGAGGCAGCAATTGAGTATTTCTTGCAATGAAGTTCTGCGCGGAGCTGTGCTGGCAGTCAGAGGCTGAAGTGGACGTGCTGCGGGCGTGAGAGGCGGAGGGCACGGCACCTTCGCCATCTGAGATAAATGAGCCATGAAGGGTAATGAGGCAGCAATTGAGTATTTCTTGCAATGAAGTTCTGCGCTGAGTGAGCTGATGTGCACAGAAATACTGCATTTAGCTAGGGTAATTTATTATATAGTGGAAAAGCAAACATTCTCATTGAAATACAACATAGAGTATCCGGGGGATGAAAACAAGTACATTTTGATTCATCTGACACTCAGAGACTTTCACGCACCTTACATAACTTTCTTGGTGAAAAGGAGAAGTGTACAATATGCCCATTTTACTGATCGGTAAACCAGGCCCTACAAAGGCTGTTCAAGACCCCAAACTGACCAGTTTAGAAGGTCTCCTAATACCACCCCAAAGCTCTTCCCGAAGTGGAATTAAATTAAAATACTCATAAATCTGAATTCATGTATTTGAATTTCAATTTTTATCATCACGTTTATTTATCTGATTTCTCTCACTGCATATTTTTCCTTCTCCAAACTAGAAGGAAAAGTTAATATTTGTCTCTCTTTCTTTTTCAGAGGGTAAACACAATTATCTACATGGCAAAATAATCATAAAAATATTTCACAAGAGCTTATGATTTCTTCTTCAAAAAAGGTCAAAATTTGACATTGTCCTATTACTATTTTGCATTTTACACACTTTCTGTTTATCTCATTTCAGTTTTATCTTGATCAGGATTTGGAACTTGCCCACAGAACAAGGCGAGCAAGAGCAAACTTGTAGGCACATTACATGATTACAAGCATTTTGGAAAGATTTGTGAATGATACACTGGGATTAAATAAACCTCAGAGGCTGGTAATGGTAATTAAAGTGATCATCAGAATATTAAAGCCTCTTTTTTATGACAGCAATAGGTTGTCCATTACTTATGATTTATTAGATATTTTCAGGTTGAAACACAAACTTTCAACTCTTGCTCTATCTTAAAATGTGTGTGACACATTTGACAGTGGAATGAAACAAAAGCTGACCTAAAAATAAACACGCAAATTGTGCTCTAGAAATTTTAAACAATAGTTTCACTTCTCTTTCTCCTTCACTAGCTGATATCTGAAATAAATTTTACAGGCATGTAAATTAAATAATGAATGTGAACTCACAGCAGTATAGCTTATCTCCAGATAGTTTTGCTACCAAAGGCAAAACAAGTGTAAAAGAAGTGTAACACCTGCTTCTCTACCCAGGAAAATGTAAATTGAATATGCTTTTTATTGTTTAGAATAAAAGGGATCGTGGGGATGGAGTGAGTGGAATACATACCGTGGTGTTCTCCGTGAGAGGGGTTTTCGGGTGGCTCTGAAGAGGATATAACTGGTGATAGCTGAGAACATTCCCCACACAGACAGAAACCGCCACCAGTAAAGTTCTATTGTGAAATACAAAGGGACAACCCACATCTGCAACAAGGTCACCAGCTGTCAGAGAAATGAACAGAAAGTCTCTTTCAATGACCAAAGGCCTGAATGGCATCTCCATTATTAAACGATTCAAAAGCTTCTCTGGGGGAAACCACTTTCACCATTGTGTTTGTACCGTGCAACTGGGTCACCATCAAACTAAGCTGCTCCTAGACTGTCGAGTTATGGAGCAAACTGGCACAATGATCTGAAGATTCAAATGGGAAACAATCCAAAATACCCATCTTTTGTCATCACCCCCTTTCATCTGACTATTTCAGGACCATTTGGGGCCTCCACAGCTATGGGACTTTGCATAAGCAAGCTTCGCTCTAGTTGTGAAACTGGGGACACCAATGCCTGCACTGCTCCCCTGTCCTGACTGATGTGGGGATCAAATGAGATCACAGTGGGAAAGAACTCTGGAAACCACACTGCGCTATGCAGAGCCAAGGGGCTGTTGTTCCTATAGGTGCCCACGTGAGAGTGCAAGTGATGTCAAAGGAGGAAGTGGAAGTCACAGCAGCTCCTGGGACCTCTTCTGCCTGCTGTCCAAGTGCCCTCTGCAGGGTTTCCTATTCCTCTGTGCATAACCTTTCTGTGGCCTATACCGTTGACCTGAATCCAAATATCCTTCAGAGGGTCCTTTAACCTGGCTGGCCCCAATGCCACAGGGCAGGGAGCAGACAGGCTGAGCCGATGGGAGGTGGGTCACTGCCTTAGATCTGGTTACTGTGACAATACTCCTACACTTCAGAGCGGGCCTAATAGCAGCTCTTCACCTCTCTTGTGGAAAACAGACCGGCTTAAACAACAGCAGTAATCTTTAGTCTTTAATGTTTTATCACATTCAGACTAACCACCTATAATTTATTTGCTCTGAAAGAATATAAGGTGAATAGCCAAGAGGTTTTGTCTCAAGTGTGGACATTAATTTTTAGCAGCACCTTGCAATGCTCTGCTGGCTTAGTGGTAGTCTCAGGATCAGTCAATTCCATCTGCCAACAACGTGGGAAGAGTTGTTAGAGCTTGCACAGCATACATTTACCATCTTGAGTATAAAGAGACTGATGCCATTGTTTTCTTTACCTTCTTAATTTTTGTGATAAAAGGGAAAGGCTCAGAAAAAAAAGAGTCTATGGATACAGTTTTGCCTCCTTTAATAAAGGCTCATTTCACTAAGACTTGTTTCACCAAGGTCCCTGCATGTCTTTTCATGGCTTGATAGCTTCTTTCTTTCTTTTTTAATTTAATTTAAAAAAAATTCAAAAAACAAACAGAAAAAACTTTATGGTGTAATAATGACTTGCCTAAATCTGGGTCTATAGCTAAAAGAGTTTCAGGGAATTAAAAGGCCCTCTTATTTAGTCCTTAAACATTTAACATGCTCTAGGTTCCAAACACAACTCTCGGCATGGGAAGTGGGGACTGAGGATGTGGTAGGATTTGCTCACTCCTGCTTTTTACCTGGCACTGGCATATGGATGAGGACTGCTGCAGGTCCCAGGAGATTGACCAGTCACTGGCCCCTGGGCATTCTCGGTTGGGCTTCTTCATCGGGCATGTAGGAACAAGTCCAGCCTCAGAGGGGAAGGTGCCAAGTACAGGTTCTGAACACAATCTGGGCTCAAACCAAGGAGGATTGGGTGTGAAAAACCCTCGTGACATACAATTCACATTTCTTCCCATTTGCCTCCTTGGCAAATTTGGAGGATTGTTGTTTTGGAGGATTTACTTATTATCCCTACTTCTTCCCTATGTGATGATTACACTAGCCATTACACTTAGTCCCTGTAACATTCCGCAAAGTATTGAAACAGATCCTGATGGGAGCAGGAGGGATTTAAAATTAAGAATTAAAACATATGAATTCAAAAGCAGAATGGAGGAAAGAAGCCATACAAATATGCTAGCCATAACACGATGCTATGACAGAGTTATGTTTGTTCATGGCAAAAATAAAACACTATCAGGAATACTGTTCTCTTTATTCATGCTTTTTGTCTGACAGAGGTTCCCAAAATTTTTAAAAATGAAGAAAAGTATAAAAATAATTTTAAAATAATTTGTAATCCCATGACAAAGAAATTTACAACTGTTGTATTTTGATACATTTCCTCCCAGTTTTTCTCTCTTTCTCTCTGTCTCAATATAAACAGATTATATCATGAGCATTCTCCCATGTCATTAACTACTCTGCTTATTTCTTTATTGATGAATAGCATTTTATTTCATGAATGTACCACAGTTTGTTTATTTGGCTTTTAAAGCAACCAGTATGTGCTTTAGAAGCCAAATAAATAAATATTATTCACAATAAATGTCATTATAAATATTATTCATAATAAATGTGATGCATATTTTATATTATTCATTAATAAATATTATTCATAATATTATTACGAATAAAAGTACTATAAATATTTGCATACAGGATTTTGTGTGAATGTAGATTTTTCAGTTCAACTGGGTAAATGCCAAAGGGTTGGTTATAATAGTCTAAGATCAATAACCAAAACTATTTGACAGCATTTCAAGATGTAAATGAAGAAGGCAAGGTCACAGCCATTCTTCTTTGAGTGTCAAAGAAGACATTCCCAGGCTCATCGTTCTCTTATTGCTCCATTCCACGAACAATCAGCAGTCTTAGAATTGTTCTAAACCTTCTTTCAGAGAACACTAAAGGTGTTATTACACATATACATTTGAACAAAAATACACATGAAACCAATCTGAAGTAAATGTCTGGAGAGTTCAGGAAAAAACAAATTTTATAACCTTTTTTGTTTTTAAATTTCAGGGAATACTTTCAGGATAAAATACATATTCTTTACTCTTGCCTGAATTTGTCCGATAATCACTTGAATTTTGCATCCTATTTTGTGGATGTGGTCAAATTTAATGAACGAGTTAGCCCTTTTATTTATGCAACTGAGATAAGTATACACAAATAGGAAAAACAGGCTTTACTTAAGGAAGGAAAATAGTTTTCGGGAGGACCCCAAACCACATGCTGGGTAACCAAAACTCAAGACATGCTTACTTTAGCACTCAGCATTAGCAACTTTGACCCTCTGCTATTGATAATGAAAGTGTGCAGCCCCTTAAAAAATCTCATCATCACTTTGGTTATTTATTTCCCGTAGCTGATTACAGAGACAGTTCTCTATCACAAATCATACATTTGCTGACTTTTTTAGTTTATTACTTCTGATATTGAAGAAGGAAATGGACATGAACTCCATCATTCAAAATCTGATTATCTGTCATTTGCATTTTTCATCTTTCTGTTTTAAGAATTTGATTCATTTTTATATTTTCTTCATAAAAATGCTTACATTTCCTGAATAAAAAGTTGAGTTTTTTGAATAAAAAATTGAGTCAGTTGATTTTAATTCAGTGAAACTACTATGCCCTTGTATTTTACACTTTAGATCATAAGCTAAAATTTATATAACTAATCCATTTCCTCAAATCCATGGATTTACAATCTATGATAGTTTGGAGTTACAGTTGGACGCTGTTTTTATAAAACTAGTTCTCTCCCTGTGAATCTATAAGTATGAACCATTTATAGGCATGCTACTCTTTAAAATAGGCTTTGGAGATCAGAAATGAAAGGAAAGCAAGAAATCATTATAATGTATTATGTATGCAAATATTTAATTTCTTATCTTTAAAGTGTATACCCAACACCACATTTTCTCAACATGCAAAGAGAAAGGTCAGAAATTTGCATTATCAATTCAATAATTGCATGAGAAGTTGTTTTGAAACAAGGACCAGATTTCATAGCAATTAAAAGATTCTTTATCAATTTCCAGAGCAGTTACAACATCTCATTTTTAATAGTAACTGCCACATATGAAATGTAGGAATGTTGTGCCTCATAAATAAACACATGAAATATGTGAAATTGAGGCACATACATGCAAAGGAGGAAGCCTGGCATCTGGAACACATTAATAATGCCAGAGGGGTCACCATCTGGGCATGTGCATATAAAACACATCTGCATTGCTGGCAAAGGGCAACCTGGGCACGTCCCTCTCCTTTTAAGTACATGGTCCAAATGATGTGTGAAATAGTGTGAAAATAATAATACTGTATATATAATAATACCTTCAGAGTATAAATAATACATAAAAGTAATAATACTTTCAGTGTACAAAGCTATTCACACATATCATTGTATATGCACATCCTACTTTTTTTCTAACTTCCTCCCCCTGCTTAAATCTAATCCCCCACATCAACAGTAAATAATTTGGTAACGAGTAAGTAATCAACAGTAAGTAAGCCCACTATTTGCCATCTATTCATGTAACTGTTCTATTCCAGTGATACATATTTAGCAGAATCGGAATTGTCAACCCGTACCCGCATGGGAAACAATTTTATCAATTGGAGTACAGTGCTCACATGAAGTTCCTATTGTCTCAATCTTACAGACTACATTCATTTCCAGTTACTTAGATCAGCCCCTTTCCTCTCACTCCCCTTCAGTGAGGTTGTTTCATACATTCATAATGCAGTTAGAACCTCTTGTCACAGTCTGTATTTCTCCCTGGATCCCCCAACCTCCCAAATGATTTTTAAAGATTTGCGTACTTTAAAGGTCCACTTTTTGTGTTGTACAGTTCTATGGGATTTGACAAATGCATAATGTTTTCTATCCACAATTACAGTATCACACAGATTAATTTTACTACCCTAAAATTTCCATTTCACCTTTTTACCACCTCCCTTGCCCCCTGAACCACTGGCAACCTCTGATCATTTAGGTATTTTTCAGAATGCCATACAATTGGAATCATACAGTATATAGCCTTTTCATACAGCTTGTTTCACTGTCTTTTTTTCACCAAGGTTCCTTCTTGTTTTGTCATGGCTAGACAGCTTATTTCTTTTTTATTGATGAGTAGTATTTTATTGCATAAATGTACCACAGTTTATTTTGTTCAGCTTTGAATGAACATCTTGGTTGCTTCCAGTTTTGGATGATTATGAATAAAGG